TATATATATATATATATATACATATAATGTTTGTTCATTTTATTCAAACATTAATAGCAAGAATCTCTTTCATATCTAATAATTACAATTTTTAAATAATATAAGTATATTCCAAGTGCTCCACTTCATATAAACGGACAAATTGATATAATGTGTCACGAGTTTGGAAGTATTTCTAAAAGTACTTTTCTTCATATATCTACTATGTCCTTATTTGGAATGCTAATCGAGAAACACATCAGAATTATTTCATTTTCAAAAAATGAAGAAATTACCTAGTAAACATGCATGTCTTACAGAGAGAGTCTTCATTTCGAAAGACGACTTAAAAGAGATGTTTGTAAGACTTTTTTGAAAAGACAACTTTAAGCTGACTTTCAGTCAAGTTTTAAAGACCTTTTTAAAGATGTCTTTCAGACGACTTAAAAGAGATGTCTGTAAGACTTTTTCAAAAAAATGTTTTTAGAATGACTTTTAGTCAAGTTTTAAAGACCTTTTTTATGTAACACTATCTTCTCCTTTATTGTATTAATGCAAGTCGTTTGGAATACGTAATCAATGGCAGTCTAGGATTCTTCTTGATAATTGTAAGTTTTATAATAATGTAATAATTATACGATATATAATATTTTTTCTTTTTCTTGTTCGAATTAATCTGTTCATAACTATTGTTTTCGTGTTAATATAAACCTTAGTTAGTTATCTTGGCACTACTAACTAAAATTTTTATTATTTGTTTTGCCCGAGAATATCTTAGTCAAAGTAAATGTCTAAGTATTTAAATTTTTATTTTTTTTAATTATTAATTTTTTTAATTATAAATTATATATTTTATATATCTAACATTTTGCAGAGTTTATATATATCTAATTATGCCATAATGAAATATCTATAAACATTGGTTTCTAACAGTAATATATTATTGTGCATAAAATATTATGTAAAATAATTAATTTTTTTAACAATAATGTTTTTGTCTTAAAAAAGATTTCACAAATATAATAATATTACAAATATGATATTTTTTAAATAGAATGTTGTTCTGTCTCTTTGTTGCGTGTAATAGAAAATTACTGAAATTATAAAATATTTGTAAATTGTCATTTTATAGAAATGTGTAATTTCTTATATATTCTAAAAAAAATTAGAAATTGATGAATGAAGCATTTCTAATAAAGTTTTTCTAATCTTATTTCATTTTACTATTCTTTTTTTTATTTTTATTGTTATTCTCTAATAATATCTTTATTTTTTAATCTTTATAATATTGTTATAACATTAAAAATATTTATATTTTAGACAAATTTAATAAAGCAATTTTTTAAAAAGAATTAAATATAATTAATTTATATATATAATTACGCAGAAAACCTTGTATTTGACATTATTAGCTTTTAGAGCAAATTAATTGCTAGTATAATATACAAATCATTATGGTATAATATGCCGTTACATCAAAATAAATTGATAATACTCATGATAATGAGATTTCAGAAACAATTAGTGATTATGGCAGGAAAAATGATGGATATGTCGTTTGAAATTTTTACGAATATAATTTAAAAAATTTTTGGATACTTAATTTTAAAGAGATTATTTTATTTTGTGCTTATAATCAATTTGCACGTGTTCTTTATGCACAAATATAATTTATAAACCAAAATTAATTTTTTTATTCTCATTTTTTAGAAAGCGTCAATATGTATCCGTGAATGTATAATGAATGCTATGTATCAATACGAATAAAAACGAAATATACATTTGTCGCAATTATAATGTAATTGTTGTAAGTCAATTAGTAAAACAGTATTACCAATGAATTTAGAATTAAATTGTTATGAACAGATTATTAATTATTTTTTATTAATTATTATTTAATAAATTATATAAATTAAAAATTATATTTAACCAATACTAATTAATACGAATGCAAATAATTTTTTGATTTCGGGTATTATTATATACATTGTACGTTCTTATTTAAAAGACTTAGTGCAGAGAATGTTAGATGTTTTTAGGCATTGACTTTTTTCTATAGAATCATACATTAAGTTTGCATATAAGCATATTCCGTTGATTATAAACATATTAAAAACTAAATATTTTTAATATCTCCAATTAAAAACTTTTATGTTTTTTTTCTTCTTCAAACGAGTTTTTTTTTGTATGATATCGTTCATAAAATCATTAAAAGGAATTACTAATCATTACATTTCCGTTTCGTTGTCCTCTCACTTTATTTCTTTAAACACCAGAGGTTAAACTGCAAGAATATAATTCAGTTCCATTTGCTTAGAATACCTAATATATAATTAATGTTGTTCTACACAGAATGTAGTAGACATTTATTTTTTTTTGATGGAATTATATTACCAAGAGACAAGTTTGCAAGAAAAAGGAACTGATAATTACACATCGAGTTGTTCATTCAGAGTTCGATATCTTTATTACTTTGAAAATAATGTATGTTGTTAGACTATCAACAGAAAATTACAGAATGTTCATAAAAAATTAACTCTATCTCGATTTGCTATTATACTACACAATACGTGGCGATTGATCCATATTTACGCGAATAGGTATGGGGATATACAATACTTGGAGAAATGTATAATACAATCATTTACTTCTCTTACGTCTAAAGTATCGAACAAATGCTGAAATACTGATTTTTATTTTCTTATGTTTTAAACACAATTGATAAATGGTAATCACAAGTACTATCAGCCCAGTGCTGAAAATTGGTCTTCAAATACTCGGCATTTGGCCGCGTGTTTCGTATTCTACCATTCAATGGCTGAGTTTTACGTTAAGCACATTGATTATACAATACTTCCAGTATTTGTATATTTTTGAACATTTGAAGATCAGCGAGCTTTCGAATCTCATTGACGGTTTGACTGTAACTTTAGAATACAGTTTAACGTTATTTAAATTGATTGGTCTATGGATACATCGTCAGTAAGATATTCTCTATGTAATAGTTCAACTATGCTTAATTGTCGTGTTCAAAAAACATGATTTTCTATCAGTTTCTTAACACATTATTTTATTTACCGTAATATAATATCATGAAGTAATATAACATCATTATCTAAACTTTAGCTTGATGTTATTCTTAAATACAACATTGATCCATCGAAAAAAATGTGATCTTTTTATCTGAAACATCTGACAGATTGAAAATATATATATATTACAGAGTTCTTCATCAAATCTTGGTTGCTATGGATAATGACTGGTGCGAGTGCATCAATATGGATAAACATTTGTATATGATGACAATTAAAGCCAATATAGCACATTTTATTTCTAACGCTTTATTGAGTGTTAATGCTATCGTTGCGCTACTTTATCTTTTAGGTGATTATGTAATTCGTTTTGTGTTCTTAAATGAAGATCAAAATCATACTTTACGGCAGTTTCCTATAAAGATACAGTTTCCCTTCGAAACTCAACAATCGCCGATGTTTGAGGTTCTTGTTGTAACAATAGCTTTACATGTAATGTTACATGTCAGCATACTTTGCATTTTAAATGGATTGGTCCTTACTTTGGTAACTATATATATAATATATATAATATTTTATATTTTATATAATATATATAATATTTTATATTTTCATCTGAATTAATTTATACTTAACAAAGCAATTTGTGACATAAGATTATAATATATTTCTAACTAAAGTAATATTCAATTGTATTAATATTTCACTTTAAATATATTTGTATAATTTTGTTATTCGATATACGATTTTCGCAAAAGTATAGAAGTGTAATTAATGCTTGTATTCGAAATTTTAGTATTAATTTTACAAAAAAAAATTATTTAGTATTAATTGAACAAATAAGTATATTATATAAATGTATGTGCATTGTATATTCGAAATATATTTGTTATAGCACGAGAATCTTTTTTATATAAAATAATTATGCAAAAATTTAAGTATATTTTAGGTACTACATGTTAGTGGACAAATTGATATAATGTGTTATGAGTTTAGAAAAATTTCTAGGAG